GTCTCACTTAAGTGACAAAAAATGTACAAAGAACTATCTAGAATACTGTCTACCATTTTTAGCTTGAAGCAGATATTCAACTGAGCTGTATGAAACACAAAATTCTTCCTTGCAGTGGTGGTTCATCCCACAAATTCCAGTCACTGCCCTATTATTTTTCCCATAGTTTCATCCCACTCATTCTGCTAATATTACTTCTGTTACTTTCATATGCAATTTGCAATCCTTAGAATCATAGATTCAGAAGGGATAAATTAGGTCATGGAGACTAACCTCCTGTTCAGTGCAGGAACCCACTGCATCCCTGACAGATGGCTGTCAAGCCTTTACTTCCATATCTCCTGCAGTAGAAAGTTCAACACCTGCCTAGAACGTTGGTTCCATTGTCCAACTACATTAGCAAGTTTTTCCTGATGTTCAATTGAAATCTGCCTTCCTCTAACTTAAGCCAATGATTTCCTGACCTGGAGTAGAAAACTGGTAGAAAACAGGTTGTAGACTTGTTCTTCTAGGCCTAAACATGCCCAGTTACTGTATTTTTTGCTCTATTAGACGCACTCTTTCCCCCCTCAAAAGTAAGGGGAAATGTCTGTGCATCTTATAGAGTGAATATGTGTGTGCAGTAAGTCTGTCAGATATGCAGCCCATGGGGAAGTGATGGGGAATGTGCCTGTGATTATGTGCCCATTTGATTCAGAATGTTTTTTTTCTTGTTTTCCTCCTCTAAAAACTAGGTGCGTCTTATGGTCAGGCGCGTCTTATAGAGTGAAAAATACGGTACTTCATTTTTTCCTCAGAGTACTTAGCAAAGATGATCGGGGGATAGAAACTATCTTCTCTGAACTTGTTCCAGTTCATCTGAATCCCTCTTAAGATATGGTGTGCAGAATGGGATACAGTATTGCATTGTGAAGTTTTAAGTTTCTTTACTTCCCACAATTTAGAAACTATACTTCTGTTGATGCAACATAAAATTGCATCTGGCTTTTTTGCAGCCATATGATTCATTTTCAGTTTCTGACTAACAATAATTCCAAGAATCTTTCTACGTGTACTACTGTGAAGTCCTATCTTATGAGTATGAATTTTATTTCTCTTGCCTTAATGAAGAGCTTTGCTCTTATTTCTGCTAAATTTCATTCTATCATTTTCCACCGAGTTCCTCTCAAGATCCTTTTGTGTGCTATTTTTGTCTTATGAGGTATGGCTACTACCCTTGCCACCACCCAATTTTGTGTCATCTGTTAATTTTGTCCTACAACTTTCCCATTATTCAAGTGCTTCCAGCATGGGAGAGCTGTAAGGCGACTAGATCCTGGCTATTTATCCTTAAAGTGACATTAAGCCATAACTTTCCATTGAAATGTAATGGGGGACTCTGGCTTATTTCAAGTTAGAAATAAAGCTCTGAAGTGCCCTGCAAATGAAGGAGCAAGGAACTGGTGCATGAATCCTTGTCCCTAGTTCTTTCTCCCAGCTTCATAAAACCATAAATGTTGATCCAAGCCAAGCCATAGTTCAGCTGACCAGAGAAATGGAATGAAGTGGTACCTGTATATTGGTGATATTCATTCCACCTCTCCTTTCAATCAAAGGCAGGTGAGCTAGGTCTATCCTGAATTGTTGGCAATGGGTTGGTTAAGGAACCATAACCAGAAACTCAATCTGTACACAACAAAGGTTCTTTTAATACTCTAGGTAGTTAATCTGTACAGTTAAATGCTGCTGAACCTGCTCTAAGTTGGGTTGTACACTCCTAGAAAAAGCAGGCTTATAGGCTGGGGATGCTCACAGATCCAGGTCTATCACAAAGTGCACTCTGTTAGCTTCAGTTGATGCACCAGCTACAATTTTACCTGGACAGAGACACTCCTGGCATAGTAATTCATTCATGGTTAATTATTGCCTAGATTATTGCCATTATGCATTAGGCATGTGTTTAATAGGGAGCTACCTCTGAAGATGGTCCAGATACTTATTAGTACAGAATTGAGCAAGAAAGCTGCTTACTGAAATTGACCATGTCAGTGTTGCATTGACCATGTTGGTTGTCAGTCATTTTCAGGGCTCAATTTAAAGAGCCATGACAGATTTCTAAACTCCAAAATAATGTAGGACAAATTGACCTGAAGACTGGTTCCAGCCTGAGATCACCTCTGGAGTCTATCCATTTGTTCAGCAAGAAAATAAAGAACAATACAAGTAAAATCAATTCTGGCTAGGTTAAAATTCTACATTTAAAGTGCCCAAGCAGCAATTAATTTGTCACCAAAAAGAAAACGAAGTCAGTGCCAATGGTCTTTCCTCAGGAGGCATTGCAAAGTCAGTGTAAAAATGGACAGGAAGCCTTTTGTAAATTCAAAATAGATGTCTATCAATGATGGCTCTCACAAAAGGGCTTTCTATTCAGATTTCAATACTCAGGCAATATAGAAGAGATGCTTCTTCAGATATTCGAATCCTAAACCACTTAGAATGTTAGAGGTGTAATCTTAGGCATGTTTAGTCTGTTTGAACATGAATTGGGTTATACCCTAATGTTACAATATAAATTTAACACCCTAAACAGGGATCAGTAGCTTAGAGGGAGTAAATGCAATTCCTTACACCTTGGGGGAATTGTGAATCTTCTCAGGTAAACTGGTCAGAATTGCCAAATTTGAATTATGTGCCAGTTGAAACTTCTGCATCATTATCAAGGGCAACCACAGTGCATACTAGCAATAACTTCTAACTTGTGCATACTAGCAATAACTTCTAACTTGTAAGAATAGGTTTCTTTTTTGTGCTAGGTAAATACTTTTATTTTATTTTATTTTTTGGCTAAGACTCTTCAGCTCATGTTTATTTAGTGCTGGATTCTAGCTGTTAGATTTCATTGCCTGATAATTGTTTTTGTTGGCTTTTATTGTATTTCTTTATTTTATTTTGTAAGTTGCTCTGGGCACTCTGGCAGAAAAGAGGATAATAAGCATTTTAAAACAAATCATTAAATAAATAATTACCACCACCATGACTCCAGTCATTTAGCTTAGAAACCCTACAAATTTCTTGCCACTTTAAAGGGTTTCTAAGCCTAAAGAAAAGGGAGAAAAATACACAAAAAGCATTTTTCCATATCTATAAAATTATTTATTGGAAATTTAACTTGAAGTCCCTTTGAGCTTTAATCTCGATTTTACAAAACTGGTTAAGTGTCAGAATTCCAAATGAGGATAGGTGGTGGCGAAAGTAAGTCCAACCTGATTAACAATCTAACCTTTCTTTCTTTAGGAAAGTTTACTGGAAACATTTGGAAATGCTTTCCAAATCAAGTCTGATTTTTACATTGCAATATGGCGTAGAGAATATCAGTATACAGTATAATTCAGTATACATATAAAACTTGAGGATAAAAATGATGCCAGGTAATAAAAACAAAACAAAATGAGAGCTTTCTGCTTTGAGGCATGTATGGTAAATCTGAATTAAGCAGTTTTGATGATAAACTGCAGGGAACTGATACATATAACTAAACTGGTCCTGTAGTCTTAAATTCTTATCTTCTGTCAAAAGTAGGACATGGAGAATTTATTGTTTCATAAAGACATTATTTGCTAAATAGGAACATGACCATTCTGTACCATATTCACTGAAAAATAATGCTACTTTGTTCAATTCTATTGCTTAAAAATCAACTTGTACAGCAAGGACATGTTTAATAGCAGACTATTCAAACATTTCATAAAATAAATGAGGGGAAAAATTATTTGCCATCAAATTTACTAGCACTAACTAACTTCAAAGGTTTATCAGATGTCTTGTTACATTTTTTTTTCTGCTGTAACTTTCTAGACCCCAATTTAAATGATTTTGACTTCTTTAGCACACCATGAACAGAACTGAAGTTTTAGAAAGCTATGTATATTGCTCTGCTACTTTTGAGAACAAGTTCTACTAAGCACCATCAGAAACATTAACTGTACTAGAACTGAGAAAACAGATTCAAGCCAGCCTGGGAACTGAGACCTCTCATAGCCTGAAATGAATAGTGAACACCAGATGTGTAGCTATCCATGGACATGGGAAAAGAGAGAGAGAGACACCAATACATAAATATACTAGCTATATGGTTTCCTCCTAATTTGACTTGGGTATCAGGTACAGGCATCTCAATATTAGCACATCACGAATTCATTTCAGATGTGAATATAACCTAGAAGCTCAGCAACAAGTCAGACAAGAACAAATATGCTATATCACTGCATTTATACCTTTAAATCCACCAAGTTTGTGTTTGGCAGCATCTAGCTCAGTGATAGGTATTTTTCACCCAAGAGGCAAAGTGTCAAAGGACTGCATCACATATGAAAATATCCCTATAGGTAGAAAAGGTGCATGTACAAGCATACAAATATCATTTGGCATGAGAAACGTCCATGGGCCACAAACAAGAATAGCTGCTGCCCATACTTCTCACAGGAAAAGCCCCACACCCTGCCATAGGAAGTTATGAATCTAAAGGTGCAATTCTAGGGAAGCTTTGATAGAAACAGTCCTCTAACCGCCAGTGGCTGGGGTATGCTGGGAGCTGTAGGACTTTCTTCAGTCCAAATATGCCTAAGATCATACCTAAGTCTAACGCTTCCTGGCTAAAATTATATGACAACATTTTGAGTCTGGTTGGGACATTCTCTGCAAATCAAACTGAGACAGAAAGGCAAATTGTAAATTGTTTCATTAAATAAACAGTGTTTTTCATTATTAACTTCTTCTCTTTCACTTGGTTCCTATTAGATTCCAGAGCACTTCCAGTTTTGAATGGTAAAGTGGCATGTCTTCTTTATTGAGTGTCACTACGAAATATCTAATGTACACTGGAGAGTGAGATCTTGTCTATGTTTATTTTGAAGTAAAGCACACTAAGCTGTATGAGGTGTACTCCAATTAAGTAAACATAGGATCAGTTCATATCTGAGCCACCATGGCTATATTAACAATGAACAAGAGACTTAACTTACATTTTCCTTAGACTGGGGAGCTTCTTGAATATTCCTGTTGCTTCCAGAACAGAAATGTCATTATCATGTAAGCGCCTTATGAAAAACAAAAATAAAAATCATCAATTTCATTTCTATACTGACCCATAGCCAAAGCTCTCTGGGTGGTTCATAAGATTTAAGAACTTAGGGCTCAAGGGGGCCTACACAATAAGTCATTTGCCACACAAATGTTTTCAAGAACAGAGTTACTGCCAGTGTGGCATAGTGGGTTTGTCTAGGTGTGGAGAAACCCAGATTCAGATCCCCACATGGCCACCAAGGCCACAGAGTGTCCTTGGGGTAGCCACTCTCCTTACCTAACCTCCTTTAAAGGAAGATTGTGAGGATAAAATAGAAGGAAAACCCTGTCAACTCCCTTGAATACTTTGAAGAAAATGAATGATGGAAATGTAATACAGAGTTTATTTTTCCTTCTTCCCTTGTTCATAATATTCCTGAGTTACAGCTATACACTATAAAGATCAATATTCAGAATTTCTGGCATGAAAGTCAGATTAATGTAGTGGTTGTGAATGGAAGAATGACCTCTCCTAATAATTTTCATAAACTGTTTTGCGATATCTTCTTTCAAAAGTGACTGGTTTATTTTATTCCTCATTGTAGATTTCCTTTGCTATTGTTATGTGGGTATTCCTTATAGATATTCCCAGCATGAATAACTAGAAAGGTATGAGAAGAAGTACACTGGAGTCTACATGTAAACAGATGATCATGTATCAAGTTGTCTTAATATTTAAACCTTGCACATTTAAGTCAGGGCCAGCATAAGGGCCTGACATCCTTGACCAGCTGCTGGGCCAAAGCACTCGTCAGGATTTACCGCTGGCACCTGCCTGTGCCCTTTCATTTCTGCCTGAGTTGGGTACACAAAGAAGCACTACGTGGTTGCATCTACCTGCCATTTCAATTTCCTGCTATGGTCCCTGCATGGTGTCACTCCAGAGCACTGTAGGAGATTAAACACAGCCATCTGGTACAGGGTGAACTGCTGCCACCTACCACTGCTTGCAGGTAACTCAACCATGGTCAAAGGCAAAAGCTTGCTTGAAAGACTTTTCCTAGGGACTGATCAGTTTAGATGTGGCCTTGACTTCATGCAATCTGTGAAAGTGTCTTGAAATCAAATATGTTGCAAGCAGAAGTATTTACCTTTCTTTGACTTTTCCACATTTTGTTGCACTACAACCTAGAACTGAAATGGATTTAATTGGCACTGGGTAACCACTCGATGGGCAGGAGATACTGACCACTGTGAGGGTGCAAAATATGAAGCCACAAAAGCTAAGTAAACAAACAAAATTGACACTTGTTTGGTTGTATCCCCCGCCCCCTCAAGTCAATACTTGGAAGAAGCACTTTTGGCAGCAATTACAGCTGCAAGTCTTCTTGGGTAAGTTTCTATCAGCTTTGCAGATGTGAACCCTGCATTGTTCGCTTTTTCTCCCTGGCAAAACTGCTCCAGCTCTGTCGGGATCGGATGAGAACTACTGGTGAACAGCAAGTTTCAAGTCTTGCCATGGACAATGGCAAAACTGGGCCATTCTAAGACATTCAGACCTTCTCAAGACAGAGTAGAAGTTCATCTATATTCTTTACTTTGCAATAATGGATTTAATGCTGTTTTGGAGGATGTTCATAATTTGGGAGTTTTTAAAAAAAGAAACACAAGCCTTATTGGTGCTTCTGCACAACTTTATCTCAGAATTGTTTTGATAGCTCCTTGGCCTTCATGATTCTGTTTGTTTAGAGATGCTCTTCAACAAACAGCTGAACCTTCCGGAAACAATGTATCAATCTGGGATCATGTGGCACTGGAACTGTGCACCAGTGGACTCCATTCAACTGTCTACAGTATGTGACTTCTGGAGGCAATATGTTGCATCAAAGTTTATTTAGGCACGTCATGGCTAGGGCAGTTATTACCTAGGCAACCAACAAGTGCCATTTTTGTTTACTTAACTTTTCTGCTACAATAAACGTATTTTGCATGTTCTTAGTGTTAAGTCTTTTGTGCCTATCAAGTGGTAGCTATGCCAATTAAATCAATTTTAATTGCAGGCTGTAACACAGCAAAATATGGAAAAGTCAGAGGCAGGTTAATACTTCTGCTAGACACTGTAAAAGTGCAAATAGAGCTCCAAAATAGTAAGATTTATTAGAAACGTTTTTATTTGAAATACTGGTTATTTCAGGTAACAATTATGGCAGTTTCAGTGGAAGATCCATACAGTGTCCTGAAAATTCAGATAATATATAAGCTTGGCTGGCAAAATAATAAAAACCAGATTATTTCAATAGTTATAAGTCAATATACTTTGTTATACAAATGCCGCACTTACAGGTCTGTGGTGTATTCTGGCAGATGACTGGGGAGTCGAGTGAGCTTTTGGTTAGAACAGTCTACAATTGTCCCCTCACAACGGCATTTTTCAGGACAGACAAGGTCCATGAAACACTCTCCACTGAACTTACTCCTGTAGTCTTCTGAACCTGCAAGGTTGAAATGTTTCCAGGTAAATAGTTGCAGTATACAGTAACCATCACAGCTTAGGTTGGAGAAGACAGCACTTCCATTTGTTTAGTGAACTCATGACTCAGTCCAGATTTCACTGATTTTTACTTTATGCTCTAAATGCTAAGAACATAGGAAAAGTCATGCTGGATTGTACTAACGGTCCATCTAGTCCAGCATTCAGTATACGGGGTGGCAAACTGGCTGCCCACAGGATTGTTCAAGCAGGATGGGTGTAATATCTTCTACCAAGCTCCCCAGTAACTGGTGTATGCAGGCAGGCCACCTCTGGTGAAGGAGGAAGCACACTGCCCACAAGACTAGTAGCCACTCATAGCCTCCTCCCTCATGAATCTGTCCAATCCCCTTTTAAAGCCATCCAGATTGGCAGCCATCACACTTCCCATGGCAGAGAATTACATAGCTTAATTATATTTTGTGGGGGGAAAGTTATTCCTTCTATCTGTCCTAAATGTTCCACCAATCAGCTTCATAGGGTGAGCCTGGGTGTGAGTGTTATGGGAGAGGGAGAAAAATATCTCCCTCTCCCCTTTCTCTACACCATGCATTATTTTAAACACCTCTATCATGTTTCCTCTCATTCACTTTTTTCCTAAGCTAAAATGTCCCAGATGTTGTAGCTGCTCCTCATAGGGGAAGCTGCTTCAGCTCCTTTATAATTTTTATTGCCTTTCTCTGTACCTTTTCCAACTCAATAATGTGCTTTTTCAGGTAAGGCAACTAGAACTGAACATGATATGCTAAGTGCGTTTGTGTTTGTTAAAAGGGAAGTAATATTTTGGTAGTTCTATATTCTATTCCATTACTAATTCTGCCTAACATGGAGTTTGCCTTCTTCATAGCAGCTGTGCACTGAGCCAACATTTTCACGAGCCTCTAATATACTACCTCAGGATCCTTTCCCTGCTCAGTCACTGCTAGCATGTACTTAAAGCTGGGATTTTTTGCCATGCATTGCTTTACACTTGCTTACATTGAACGGTTTTTGCCATTTTGATGCTTATTGTCACTGCTTTGAGAGATTCCTTTGGAGCTCCTCACAATCCCTTTTGGTTTTAACTACTGTAAATAGCTAAGGGTCATCAGCAAACCTGGCCACTTCACTACTTACTCCTAATTCCAGATCTTTTATGAATAGGTTGAAAAACATTGATCCTAATACAAAACCCTGTGAAACTACATTGGTGACATCTCTCCACTGGAAGAAGCTGCCATTTATTCCCACCCTCTGTCTTCTTTTCTTTAACCAGTTGCACAAGAGCTTTTGGTGAGGGACTATGTCAAAAGGCTTTTGGAAATCCAAATAAGCCGTATCTACTGGATTGGCCCTGTCTGTGTGCTGACTGACACTCTTAAAGAACTCTAATAGGTTAGTGAGACAAGGCTTCCCCTTCCAGAAGCCATGCTGATTTTTTTTCAACTGGAATTGTCCCTCTGTGTGTTTACTGATTCTATCTTTAATAATGCTTTCAAACAGTTTGCCAAGGATAGATATTTAACTAATTGACCTGTGATTTCCTGGATCCCCTTTTAAAAACTGGTCTAACATTGGCCATTCTCCAGCCCCCTGGTACAAGGGCTGATTTTAGGGAAAGAGTAAATATTTTAGTGGAAGGGCCAGCAATTTAATATTTGAGTTCTTTGAGAAATCTAGGATGGATGCCACCTGAAATGGGTAATCTGCTGACTTTCTCAATAAGGTTGACAATTTTATCTTCTGTCACTACTACCTGCCTTGATTCGCCTAACTCCCTTCCAGAATACATAAGCTCAGGAACAGGTATCCAAGTGAACCTCCTCTGCTTAAAGACTGATGAAAAATAAATAAATAACTCAGCTTCTCTGCAATCTTCTCATCCCCTCCTTTAATTCCATTATCATCCCATGGTCCAACTACTTCTTTTGCTGTTTGATACATTTATTTATTGTTGGCCTTGATGTTGTTAGTGATGTGCTCCTCAAACTGTATCCTTGCTTCTCTGTCTGCTTTCATCTCCCTTGTGCAAGCTTGTGGTCCCATCTTTTTTCATTTGGGTCAGATTTCCATTTTTTCAGGGACACTGTCTTCTTCTAATAGTTTCCTGGCTATTTCTGGACTTCATGCTACTTCTCCTCACTTGCAGTATGAATATTATCTGTGGTGGGGTTTTTTTTTTTAGTGCTTTGAAGAGATTTGAACTACTTGCTTCCCCCTTTCAACTTCTTTTTTACCAGCATGCTCATTTTTGAGGAGTTTCCTCTTTTGAAGTCCAGTGGAGCTATGTTTGACCTCTTCAGAAGTCTTTCACCTAACTGTACAATAAACACCATAGTCATTGTTCCTCATTGGCTCAACATCATTTACATACTGTACTATGTCCTGGGCTAAATCCAGGATTGGATTGCCTCCCCTCTAATTGGCTCAAGGACCAACTGCTCAAGGGCACAGTCATTTAAGACATGGAGAAATTTAACCTCATTATCAGAACTGGAACATACATTTATCCAGTCAATGTGTGGGTAGTTGAAGTCCTCAATTATTACAATAGTGCCTTTGTTGCAGGCCTCCCTGATTTCAGTTCCCATCTCAAGATCTCCCTGAGCATTCTGGTCTGGGGGATGACACCATACTCCTATGACGTAGTGCTTCTGTGGAGGAGCCGTCACACTTTAGATTATCAAGCCTGCTGGACTCTATGCTCTCTTTAACATAGAGGGCAACACCACCTCCAGTGCACCCTTCCCTGATTCCTATATATCCAGAGGTGACTGTGTTCCACTTGTTATCTCTGCTCCACTAGGTTTCCATAATGCTAATTATAATACCCACTTCTTTATCACCAGATACCCCAGCTCTCTCTTTTAGGCCCTTAAGTGCTCGTATGGTTGGGTCAATTCACTCTAGCGTTGTTCTAGAGAGACACTGGGAAGTCGTTGTCTCTTAGAAGACAATTCCATGCCTTTTCACAAATATCTTCTGTGGTATTAGCACTTGTCACATGACAAATGGTATGTTAGAAAAATTAAGGCAAAAACTCAAGGCTTTGACTTCACATATATGATTAAAACCAAAGTTTCTGGTTTAACAAACAACACATGAACAATGCAACGGAAAGTAACATGAGTTGCAATTATTCCACTTTGATCACAATAAGTACTGTGTGTAAACAGAGGTATTGTGTATGTGTATGTGTGTGTGTGCACGCACATCTCAAAAGAATTGCAATTCAGCATGGTCTGCAACTGTCAGGTCCTTTTTGACTTGTTCTAATGAAAAATCCTTGCAGTCAGGCTCAACAAACCAATCTTTCCAGCTTTTAAAGCAAGTATTAATGAGAAGTAAATCTGATCCTTGTGCTTACGGCAGCCAATGTATTAATGGGTATGTGATCACAGTTGCCAGTATACATTCAGTCAGGCAGTACTTGCCCACTCACTTCATAGTTCATTATGGGAAAAACTGAATTTCTCTCTCAAAGTATTTGTTCTGTCCTACCATTTTAACAAGTGTTTTTAACTTCTCTAGGATTTTATAAGCTGGTTGAAATTGCAACATATACTTGTCAATGCCAAATTCAGTTATCTATGAAGCACTAACTTTCTAGAAAATACAGTTCTGGAAGGGAAAGTTATTCTACTAATTTTCAAGTGGACCCTCAAAAGGTCCTATGTAAAAAGCAAAACCAAGCTGTTACAGAGTATTTGATTTTTATTTTTTTTTGGGGGGGGGAAGCATTCTTGTATCAATTTAAGAACATTACTTCTACTTGTTATGGCTACAATCCATAGAAGCTGTGCAAAATAGAGATCTATAAAAACTTCTGTTCAGAAAATGTTACATAATTCTGTTGTAGGAAACCACGAAACTAGCTAGCCTTAAGTCTGTCCAGAATACAGACTGTTCAAAAACTCTGTATTATACCAGTTTTTAAAGAAGTAGCCATGGATACTGGTTAGATTTCAGGCATACGAGGTGTATCCAGAAAGTAATGCAATTGAAGTTTCTATGCACAAGAAGGGCTCTGTGAAGGGAGGGTGGTGTGCCAGGTATAAATTAGATCACTGACCAGTTGTATTCCAGCCCTGTCAGAGTCAAGACATTCTTTTTTGTGACACCCTGTACAATTGCCTCATATTAAGAATAATGCAAGCGTGTTTGGAACAGCAGTATGTGATAAAATTATGTGAAATTGCTTAAAAGTGCACCAGAAATGTTGGAAATGGCGAGGAAAATTTATGGGGAAGCTGTGCTAACATCTGCACAAGTGTACTGATGGCATAAGTTGAGATCAGCTCAACTTGGATCCTTCATCAGGACAATGCACCAAGTCACAGTGCTTTGGCTGTCAGAAAGTTTTTGGCTGAAAAACATATCATGGTGCTTCCCCAGTCCTGACTTGACTCCTTGCAACTTTTTCATCTTCCCAAAGATGAAGAATGGTTTGAAAGGACAGCATTTTGGTAGTGTGGATTACATCCAAAGAGCCACTACTCAGGCTCTGAACACCATCCCACTTGAAAACTTCCAGGGATGCTATGATGAACGGAAAAATCACTGAGAGTGTTGTGTACACTCACAAGATGCATACACTGAAGAAGACAATGTTCAATTGTAAATGTTTCAGTAAAAGAATTTTTAAAATATTCTCAGTACTTTCTGGACACACCTCGTACCTTAAAGCACAGATTTTGAATTTTACAGCATAATCTGGTTATTTGAAGGAATACCTTCTTTCTCGATATTCTTCCCAATGATCTACAAAATCACAGGGCTGAAGTATTTCCCAGATAAATATCTTATCCTCATACCTACCCCATTGTCTAATTGGTGGACACTTGAAGGAAATGTCATTTTCCTCTACAAATTACAACATAATAATAAGCTAGATATTAAAATGTTATTGCAATCCTAAAGTAGCTTATTTGAAACATCAATACAAATTGTTTCAGACATAATATGTTTAGATGAGAATGGAAA